GGCCCCGGCAGCGCCCGGTTCTTCGGCGGCGGAGCCCCCCTGCCCGGCGGAACTGCCCACGTAAGGGTCCCTCTTGCTGCTTCCTTGGTGTCCCCAGCAGCGGGGCGGGCAGGGAGATGGTGGGAGCCAGTCGGGCTCTTTGTCCTGGGGCCATCGTCCCACCTGGTTGCGCTGAGCAGGGGCCGCGGAGCTGATGGTCCCTCCTGCCCATCCGGGAATCCCGGCCCGTAACCCTTCAGCACGGAAATGCAGTGCTGGGCTCCCTCTCTTCCCCTGCACATCCATGTCTGGATGGTGTGAGACCTCCTGGCAGCCAGGGAATCGCGTAGGTGACACCGCGAGCTGGTGCGGGCGGCACCGAGGCCAGCGGTGTCCCCAGGTCCTTGTGGTTGGAAGAGGCCTCCGGAGGTCTCGGGTCGTCGTCTCGGCCGCCTCCGAGGACGGATCCTGGGCGGCGCTGCCTTTGCTCTTCCGCTGGCCTCTTTACCCAGGCTCGGTTGCTTTCAAGCTGGGCTGAACGCTTCTGATTTTCAAAAGATGTCCTTGTTTCCAAGCCCTCCTAGGGTGTCTGTGACAAGACTGTGTCTTGGGGCTGTCTTGCTGCTTGGGGGGTTGTTTTGCTCTGGCTGCTCCTCGCTTTTAGGAACCGCGTTCCGAGTGTGGCATCCTGTGCAGGTGTTCCTGTCCCCTGTCTACATGTCACCTTAACCCCAGCGGTGAAGCCATCCTGCCTTGCTTAGCGCCTGGTTTGCAGCTCCTGCGTGTCCTTGCTGCCCGAGGCAGCGTTTCGCTTCCCGCGTGGCTGTGCGAGAGGGAGCGACGCGGGATGGGAGCGGGAAGGAGGCTCAGGAAGCGCCTGCCAAGTAACCGGAGCAAATGGGAAAGGGGAGAAGGGCCCTGATACGCGTCAGACGGGTCGAGCGAAGCGCAAGTGGGATAAAAATAAGCCAGAAGCCAAAAATGAAACCACCTGGAAAGCCGCGTTCCTGCTGCCTGTGCCGGCGCTGTCCTGCGCAAGAAGGATCGTCCCCGGGGCTGTCAGTCTGACGCCTCTCGCCGGCGTGGAATGAAGGGAGCCAAAAAAAGCCCTGCAGGAACCGGCCCGTCTGCTTTGGTCTTGTTCCTGCTGGGCTGCAGAGCCACGGCTCCGACCTGGCTGTTTACAACCCCGCTTTATCCCAAAAGGAAGCAGGAGGGAGAGGTTTGAGTCCCTGTGTCCTGCGTGGGAGTGGGCGAGTGATCTGTAGCCACCAAAAAACAGCTCTAAAGGCTACGGGAAGGAAAATGGGAGGGATGAGCAAAGGAAGCTGAGGGCGTGCGAGGGGGTAGGATGCGTCCGCGCTGGAGCCGCACGGGATGGGAGCCGAGCCCGGGAGCGTTCTGCGGTCCCGTGGTTTCGGGACGGGTTTCCCGGCTGTCCGGATGCCGGTGGATGAAAGGAAAAGGTTGGTCTGCGGCATGGAAGTAGGGCAGAGAGGCCCACCAGGTTGAGCAAAACGCTGTAATTGGTGGCTGTGCCTCTGGGGGGCACTGGAACCCCCCGAAAGGCTCCGGGGATGGGAACAGGCACCCAGGGCCCCCTCCCCGACAGCCTATTAATAATTGAACCGGCTGCTTAATTCTGCACATCCCTTTGTGAGCAAAACCCACAGCCACCGGGCTGCTTGGGAGGGCGGTGGATAATGTGCAGCGAGGATGCAGGAAGGAGATTAAACAACAATATTTTCCATCTCCTTCCCTTCTTCTCCCCCTCTCCTCCCCGCTAAGAGAACTGCTGCCACCCAAATCTATATAAAAACTCGCTCATTCCGTCAACCTCGCTGCGCCGGGAATGTAGGGCAGGTAACATCCCAGATCTGCCAGCTCCCATCAGAGCCGCGCTCGGCTCCTGGCTGCCGGGACACGTGTTGGGAGCAGCTTTTCCAGGGCTGCTCTGTAAGAGGAGAGCAAGAATCAAGGCTGTGTTGCCGGCGGAGAGGGGCAGGAGAGCTCGATTCCTCGTTCCGCACGCGTCTCTCCGCTCCCTTCGCCCTCTTGCACCTTCGCATGGACAGGGATGCGGCTCCCCGTCGCTGCGGGCGGCCGCGCTGACTCCTTTTCCCCCCATCTGCTCCCTGAATCCATCCCCGCCTGAGCTCAGCGCCTAATTCCCACCACCTCCGCTTCCCGCAGCGCTCCCTCCCCTTCCCGCTTGGATTTCATCCTGCATATATTTGCCGCGTGGTGGTTAAAATAGTGCCCGGCAGCCCACGGGCACAGCCTGGCCTTGCCGTCCCTGCCGACTCCGGCTCTTGCTCCCGCTCCTTCCTTTCTCCCAGCTTTGCCGGGTGCTTTTCCCGGTAGGACAGCAGCTCGGATCGGGCCGTTTCGGAGCACCCGCCGACCCAGTTTGTGCTGCCTCCCTTTGTACAGCGCGCCGGGAGCTGGAGAGGTTCAAGGGCTCCGAATGGGAACGGCACGTCCCAGCGAGCTCCAGGTGGGATAAGGAGGCCAGGCGGCTCCTTTATCCATCGGGAAAGGTTTGGAAGCAGCCGCTGCCACTTGAGTGGGATGAAAGGGGGCCTGGACACCCTTGTCCCCAAACCCTGGGCTGGGGGCTGCTCTGGGGGTGACAGGTGGCCGTGCTCAGCAGTGTCCTCCAAAACCCCTCGGGTGCTTTTGTGCCTCGCTGTCCCTAGCAAGAGGCAGGAGAAAATGGAAGAGAAACGGGATGATCCCGTGAGCTGCCTCCTTGGGCACCCGGCTCCCTCCCGGAGCCACCGCTTCCAGCCCGGATTCCTGCGGTGCCGTTAACCCTTGTGCCCCCGAGGTGACGTGGTGGCACTTTGGGAATTTTCCAGGAGCCTCCTGTGCCAGCCTCATTCCACTTAGCAACCGCTTGGTTTGCTGCACACCCAGATGGATGGGGATATTTTTTTCCTCCCCGCTGCGAGGTGCTTGCAGGGGAATTGCAGTGCAGGCTCCTTCTCCCAGGGCTTTTGGGGAAGGGTGGGGAATTTCACCGCTTCCAGTCCCATCCGCGGAGGGAAAGCGGGTGGCCGTGGTGGGCGCTGGCAGCCGTGCTTCGACTCGGAGGCTCGGTGATCCCAAGCGATCCCGGTGCTCCCACGGCTCTTCCTGCTCGGCACCGGCTGGACCAGAAGCCGATGAAACCGGTTTCCTTCCCCGACGTCCCTTAAGGCTTTCCTGGTGAGCTCAGAGCGCCGACTGCGCCGTCCCCTTCCAGCCTGACCCAGAAAGCTGGTGCCGACACCGATCATTTTCCACGTTTACGGGCAAGTCCGGCCTGGTTCCCATTCCAAGATGCCACAGGGAATTCCCCCGGCGCTGCCGCATCCCCGTCGGGAGCAGCAGCCAGCCAGAGCTGCGTGACCAGCTCCGCGCCGCTCCATCTGCTCCCAGCTCCAGGCTCCAGCAGTGGCAGAAGGGCATGGGACGAGCGCCTCCGAATACCCTCCAAATATTTCCCGCTGCCTCCGGCAAGTTGCGGTTCGGTGGCTTCCTTGGCTGGAGAGAGCGCTCGGCCTGCAGCACCTCTCACGTTTTTGGATTCCTCTCTCTGGATTTCAGCCCTCGCGAGCCGCCGGTGCCCGCGGCGTCCTGCAGCACGGAGTCCCTGAGGAAACCCCTTGCTTTGGAAACGCTCCTGTAGCTGGAAAAACAGAGAGTGCTCCTTGCCCTTCTCCAGCTCGCGCGATTTCTAGTCCTGTTCTGTCTGTTTTGGTGCCCGTTCGTCCCTCTTTTTGGCTGAAGAGCCCTCACGTGCTTAGGTGCATCTCACCCAAAAGTGGTTCTCTACCTTCAGCGATCCTTGGGCATGTCCTTGTCCCCCTTGATCCTCCTGGCACCTTGCGTGTGCCAAGAATTCCCCTGGGATTTGTTTTCCCCACATGTCGAGAGGTGTCCGTGCATCCCTCTTCTCCTCCACCCTCCTGTGGATGGGAGCAGCCCTGGACCATGGCCCTGCTCCCTGTTGGGGCTGGGTTTTCCTCTCTGGATCCACCAAGAGCATCCGTAATTCGTCTCCTCCGCGTCTCCACGGACCCTCCGTTGTCTTCCTCAACACGGAGAGAGCAAGTCAAGAAGAGAAACCCAACTCCTCGCAAGGTGTCTGCCAAGCCTGGAACACTCGAGCCGAAGAGGAGCTTCCTCCAATCCCACCGAGGGCTCCAAGGAGCCTTTTGCAGCTGTTTGGAAATTGCCCGGGGCCCAATTTTTGGATGCTTCAAGGGGGGAACCTGATTCCTTGGGTTCAGCTGCTGAGCTCAGCAGTTCCCTCCGCTCGCAGTGAATTCACTCAGGGCTTCACTCGTCCTACCAAGGTGTCACTCTCCCAAATTAGGTCCGAGGACCAAAAATAACTAAATTAAAACCTAGAATTTTTATTTTTTTCCCCTCTTAACAAGCAGAAAATCCCAGAGCTGAAGGCCGAGGGACAGCGTGTGCCTGATTCTTATTTAAAAAAGGAAGAGCTGCTCGCCGAAGGAAGAAACATAACCTGGAAAACTACTGGTAGGAACGCGAGCCTGGCATCGCTGTGAAATGTCAGGAGCAGACGGGCCAGGTTGGATCTGCGGCGCATGGGCAGCCAGGAGCTCGGAAAGCCACATTCGCCTGCACTTGCACACTTCAATCCCGAGGGATTTATTTGGCCTTATCCCTTTTTTCTTTTTTCTTCCCTCTCCAAGGGAGCTATAATTGAATCCAGCCCAGTTTGGCGGCGCGTCGGTCTCTCCAAGGAGCCCTCCGGAGCCCAAGGTTGTGTAAGCTCTGTGCAAACAACCAAGATCCCAGGGGACTTTTCCGAACAGTAGCGTGTCCTGCTGTCCTTGACCTAAATTTCCCAGCAGCAGTGAAATCTAGTCCTCTGGTGATGACTCCAAAGCTCTCCCGTGAGCTGGCGGTGGCATTTAAACCAGCCTAATGTCACCAAGCTGGCTCTGTTGAATGGGTCCAGAAATAACTTGGAAAGCAAAAGGCTAAAAGCTCCCCGGAAGAGTGGGAGCTGGGAAAAGAGCAAGGCGCTCCTCTGGCTTCCAGGGAGAAGCAAGAGCCTGTTGGGCCTGAGGTGGGAGAAGGTCCAGGGCGAAGGGGGATTTGGGGTCTCCATTGGCTTGGGTGGCTGTTGAGTTGGGTTGAGTAGCTGCTCGGTTTTGTTGAGTTGCGTTGGGTTGAGTGGCTTCTTGGTTGGGTTGGGTTGAGCGGCTCTTCGGTTGCATTGGGTTGCATTGGTTTGAGTTGAGTGGCTGCTCGGTTGAGTTGGGTTGGGTTGAGCGGCTGCTCGGTTGCATTGGGTTGCGTTGAGTGGCTGCTCGGTTGTGTTGGGTTGCGTTGGGTGGCTCCTTTCTTGGCTTGGGTGCTGGGGACACCACCTCGTGTGCATTGTGTTGGGGACACCTCTGCCCCGTGCCTTGGGGAGCCTTGGATCCGTCTCATCCTTGCAGCTTCCGGCCTTAGCGATGGCACCCGGGACAGGGCGCTTGGCTTGGTGCTGCCTGCTGATCCCAGCCCAGGGACGAGCTCAAGCTTTGAGGATTGTAGAAGCAGAGCTGGCCTCGCTGCCTGGTCCACACTGACATCAAGCCCTAGTTTTGGGGGTGAAGAGGGAGGCTTTAGCTGCTTCCTCCGACCTGTTATTTTCCATCTTTTCCTTGTGGACACAACCACCACGCCGAGCCCCTTGGATTCATGAAGATGATGCTCAGCAGCTCCGAGGTCGGGATAGGAGGCAGCTCTGGAAGCACCAATGACCGTGTGTCCATCGTGGATGTGAACGAACCTTTCCACACAATCCAGGAGGGCTCTTCTCCTCACCGGCCCATGGACACCCTGGTTGGATATGGCTGGAGGAAACCCCAAGGGTCCACAGGGCTCCGAGACCCCTCGGAGGCCAGGAGAGGGACCCAGTGCCTTGCGCTCCTGCAGGGAAAATCCTTGGCAAAGAGGAGCTCTGGGAGCTGCCCCGCTTCCCGGGAAATCAAATCCTGCTGCTTCTCGCCCGAGGTCGACGTCGCAGAGCGACGGCAACGGCTTTGCGGATGGCAGGGCTCGTCTGGAGCTGGACACAGGGAAATACGGCACGGAGAGGAATCCGGAGCGAACGGGAAGGGCGCCCTGGGGCCCGGCACGAGGAAGCTGCTCCACCGAGCGCAGAAAAGCAAAAAAAAAAATCCCCGGTTTGGCTGCTTGGCGCCGCTGCATTGTTAAAGGTTTCACCTCCCCCAAAATGACACATTGGGAGCAAAAAATAGAACAAGGCAGAACACACAGAGCCACCCCCCGGCACCAGCAGCCGGGTGCGAGCGGCGCCCGCGCCGCGTTTGCGCAATCCGGCGCTTTTCCCGGGAGCGTCGCCCTCCGTCCCGCCGGGCAGGACCCGGCCGGGAAGCTGCTGCTGGCCGGAGCCGGAGAGGAAATTCATGGAAAAGCTCCAAGAGGGGCAGGAGCTCCTTGGCAGCCGGCGGAGATGGTAGCCATGTGGCCAGAGCTGTGTAGCGGGGCCAAGGCCAGGGTGTCCTAGCCAAAATCCCGAGCATCCCGTGGCTCTGGAGCGGGATGTTCCGCCTGCAAGGGGGTTTGTCGCGCTTGGACACAGCTCCCCGCCTTGGCTTCCCCATCCAGGCGCTGGGAATTTGCAACGGGGCGAGCAAGGAGCTCGGCCGGGGTGGTCGCAGGGCCCTGGCACCCCTTGGAAGCGCTCCCAGGAATGCTGTGTCTCCTTTCCCGAGTGTCTCTTCTGTATTTTCAAGGAAAAGGGCAAGCCGGGCGGCACATCGCGGTGCCGAGTCCCTGCGTGACCTCCAAAAGCGCCTGGAAGGAGGAGCAGCTGGAGAAGCTCCGGAGCTTCCGAAGGCAGAGGTGGCTCCGGAACGCCGTCCTGCGGCCCTCCCGCTTCCCCAGGCCTGTCCCGGAGCCCTTTTCCTTTGGCCAGGGGTAGAGGGATGGATCCATCACCTCTTTCCGAGCGCTCCCAGCTCCGCATCCCAAGCTAAACGTTAGCCTGGAGACTCTCCAGCTTATCTGTGAAAGACACTCGGCCGGCAGCAGGTGCCAGGGAAAGGAGCCCGCGGGGATTGCAGTGTCTGAGGTGGGAAAAAAAGGAAAAACACCTGGATTTTGTGACCTGGATTAAGCCTTTTTGGGCCATCGCCGCCTACCTGCGTGGGGAAACGGGGGTCCTCGTGGATACGGGTTTGCACCTCCTCCCCCGGGACCGGCGCCAGCCCCGCGGGGCCGGGGCTGAGGGGGGAAAAGGCATCGGAAAAGGCGGCCCCGGCGCCCGCCCCGCGGCCCCGCTCGCCTCCCACAATCCGGGGGCGGTTTGGGAAGCGCCAGCTGGAGCCAACCGGCGCCAGCGCCTGTTCCCTGCTGCCATGCCAACCCCATCTCCATGGCAATGGGCACCCAATGGGCGACGGCCCGGCCGGGGCAGCGTTTCGGGATGGGGGGGAGCGGGAAGTGGAAAAAAAAAATAGGAAAAAAATAAATGCGGGGGTGTCGGGAAGCGGGATGAGGTCCCCCGGCCCCCCCAGCACCGCTGTCCCCAGTGCAAAAGGCGCCAGGGGGTTAATTTAGTCTCATCTCTCTTGATCACTGCTAATAAAGGCTGAGCATTAACCTGCAGCGTTAGGGATGCTCTTGGGCCAGCTCTGCCCTCTCCCTGCTCCCAATATCCTTCCCTCTTGCTCCCGAGCTGCCGGCCCCGTTAACACCTCGCTCCTTTCCTTCCTCCCCAGGAGGCAGGAGCAGTTCCAGACCAATCCCGACAGCTACAACGGAGCCGTGCGCGAGAATTACGCCTGGTCCCAAGACTACAGCGACCTGGAGATTAAAGTGCCTGTGCCCAAGCACATCGTAAAAGGCAAACAGGTAAATGGGAAGGGTTGGCATTCCGGTGTCTCCTTATCCCTCCTGAGGACCCAGCTGTCCTGGGAAGCTGCTTGGAGCAGGAGGCAGCCTGGAGCTGCCGGAAGAAGATAGTTTGGGCATGGCTAACAGCCAACTCCTTCCCCAGTTATCCACCTGTCTGGGAGAGGATAGTTTGGGAACAGCCAACTCCTTCCCCAGTTATCCAGGTGTCTGGAAGAGGACAGCTTAGGGATCTGCTCTGCCTTGGAGCATCTCTTGCCTTCCCTTTGCTCCTCTGGCCTGCAGCAGTTGGGAGGCTTGAAGCTGGTCCGGTCCCATGCAAGACCTGCCCTGCATCCCTGCTCCCAAAAGGCCCCGCGGGCGCTTCTGTATTTTTCCATTTGGGAACGCGCGCTCTCTCCCGGTCCCCTCGCTGCAGGGTGGCTGCAAACGAGGCTCCCGGTCCGTTCCCTGGCTGCAGCCCACGCAGCTCCCGCGCGTGCCAAGGAAAGGGCTGCTTGGCAGCAGCCACCCGGCCCGGAGGGGTGACAGAGCGAGCGGGGACAGCAGGGGGACCACGAGCTGCGTCGTTCCCAGTGCGTCGCTCCAATAAATCCAGGCTGTTGCTTGCAAACGGCGCTCGGAGGGATGTGTGAGCCCGCGATGCTTCCATAGGGATGGGGACAGCGGCCTCTCTCTGGGAGACGCGAGCCCCGCGGCGCCTCGAGCAACGTTTGCCACCAGCCCAAAACGGCTCCACTGGCGCCCGGCTCCGGAGCCCCGCGGCTCC